GGACCGTTCCCGAAAACGCTTTCCCGCCAAAAAAACTTTCACGTGCCCCTACGTGAGAACCACGCGAAGCTGAGCGTCCATTTCGAGGATACGAGTCTGCACGCATGTCTAGATTAAATCACCAAATTTTCAGTCTTGTAGCTTTTGTGGATCTCGAGATGAAACTCGTTACAGACGCACACACAGACACACACATACACACACACATACACACACAGACACACACACACACACACACAGACAACCCCTCGACAATATGCGTTTTTGCATTGCATAGATGCAAAAAACGCATAATGAGTGTACATGGTAAACTGTAAAGCAACAATCATCCATACCTCCAACGCATGAATGAATTTAGCGTAACCCAGGCTTCAAATTTAGCGTAACCCAGGCTGAAACGCATCAAGCGAGCTGGTGCGATCATACGTCTTTGCACCAGTAACTAGAATTAATTAGGCTAACTGCATGAACGATTGTTTCTTCACAGCTACCTCGTGCGCTCAATACCGTAGATCATCGTAAATTTTGCATAAACGAAAATATGCGATTTCCGTCTAGTGGTCGTTTTTTGAAAATGACCCAGCTGTTCAATGAATAATTTTCCCATCAAAAATTTAAGTGCCCATACACGAGAACAACGTGTACTCGGAGGCTGGATTTGAAACCTTTAAGTTATATTTGGACGGGGAATATTCTCCTTAAATCTCAGCTTTCCAGCTTTCCTGATTCCCAAGTTAGCAGTTTTCCTCCCAAAACTTCCACGGGGCCGCATGTGACCTGGGGGCATAACTGTAGGCTGGGTTTGAAAGCTTTGAGTTGTACATGGGTTGTGAACATCCCCTTAAAAATTTCAACCTCCCAGCTTTCCTGGTTCCCGAGTTAGCCATTTTCCCTCCAAAAAATTTTGCGAGGCCGTACGTGAGAACCATGTACGACTGGGGGTTGAATTTGATAGATTTATGTTGTACTTACGCTGGGAACATTCATTGAAAATTTCAGCCTTCCAGCTTTCCTGGTTCCCAAGATAGCCATTTTCGCGCCAAAAAAATATCACGAGGCTGTACGTGGGGACCACGCATACCTGGAGGTTGAGTTCGACAATTTTAAGTCGTACATGAGCTGGGAACACCGAAAGTTTCAGCCTCCCAGCTTGCTAATTCCCAAGCTAGCGATTTTCGCGCCACGAACCCTCATGGGGCTGTACGCGGAAACCACGCAAACCTGGGAGTTGAATTTGAAATCTTTGAGTTATATGTGAACGGGGAACATGCCCTCAAAATTTCAGCTTTCTATCTTTTCTCATTCTCGACTTATCAATTTTCCCGCCAAAACTTCCACCCTCTTGTATGCGGGATCCAGACTTGCATGAAGGTTGGTGCCGCGGTTCTGGGGTGGCACTTGGCCGAGGAACTCACTAGCAAAATCTTGGTGCTAGAAATTGCTTGGTTGCCGAGTTGAAATACCCGGACAGACGAACACACACACACGCAAACATGCATACACACACACGCACACACACACACACACACACACACACATACGCGCAGGCTCGTTGCTATATGCGTTTTCGCAATTTGAAAATAGGCAAAAACGCATAAAAAGGCATGATCGCACCAGAAACTCTGACACCTATTGATACCCGGGTCCGACTTTTCTATCAGATGAGCAGCAGCAATCTAATGAAAGTAGACTCGGATACCGTACTGCATGCTGCGACTCCGTTTACAAAACAGCAAGTCAAAAGACAGAATCCTGTGTGTTCGATGCAAAAGGAGAATTTGGTGCCTGTTTTGTTTTTGAAAACGTGCATTAGCAATTTTTACAAATTTTTGCTGCGTGCTAGTGTCGAGACAAATAAGCACATATATACAAACAAACACAACAAACAGACATGCGCACAGTGGAACAGATTAGCTGACGACAAATTAATGATTTTTTGAATGGAAAATTATTTAAGGACAGAAGTTTGCGTTAATGGAAGAAAAAGTTGCGCTAGCGACAGTGCTGCGCCGCTTCGAGGTGATATCGACACTGAGCGAAGAAGAAAATCGGGCGCTGCCGGAAGTTTCGCTGAAACCGAGCCGAGGATTCCCAATTCGGTTGCTCAGAAGACAGCGGACTAAAGCATAAACTTCGCTGCTGCAGCGCAGTTTGACAGACAAAAATGGAACAGCTTATTTCTTTCAATGCCGACACATAAAAATTCGTTTTTACAAATACCGCGTGTAACCAGTTCGCAAAAAGTGTTTTCAGTGTCAAGCATGCCTACACATGCATACCGCCCTTTCTTAGACAACCTGGACAGTCAACACCAGTGCTTACATACTTGTTAGTACCGCCAGTGCCCATCGACTACCAGTTAAATGTGGGAAATGTCTCGGCTAGCAGATTTCACTTGCTCAGAAACACAGAGTTACAGTAATTGCACGCACGCTTTTTATGCATTTTTGCTGTGCAGCGCCACAGCGCTGTAACAGTGGGCAAAAGCACATCTTGTCAAGAGGGTGTCTGTGTATGTGGGCGTGAGGAATTCGATAATAACATTGAACTCGAGAACTGGAGAAATTAGGAAGCTGAAACTTCTGGAACATGTTCCTATTGCATTTTGGCCCTCCCGTTTTGAAATTATTGCTCAGCTGCACTTGGGTCTCACGTATGAACAGTCGAAAAGGAAATGTGTAAATTTTTTCACTGGAGCAATTTTGAAAAACAATCAGCCTAGGAAGCTGAAATTCTACGAGAATATTCGCTCTCCATACTTGAAATAAAGATTACAGGCTCAGCTATAAAACACGCTTGTGTCGCGTTTATTATTCAAATAAGTAATTTTAACCTAAATTGATTTTTGGATTGCACTTGCGTCATGCGTTAAAGCACGTCGAAAAAATTTGTAGCGAATTTGCAATTTTGATAACCGGGGAAGCTAGGAAACTGAAATTTTTCAAAGATGTTCTATATTTGTGTCCGAATTGAAGGTTTTAAATTAGATTCGAGACGCGCTAGGGCTCGCGTTATGCACAAGTTTCAATTTTGGACAGTTTTGGCACTCTTTAATTCTGCAAACAAACTAAGCAGGAAGCCGAAATTTCGTGAGGATGTATGACATCCGTAAGGGAGCAAAATTAACTTCTGTTTTCGCATGTGCTCCGCGCATGAAAGCGTCAAATGCTCAAAATGCAACGGTTTTGTCATCCTTCTCACTCGATAATCAGACAGGCAAGGAAGCAGAAATTTGAAAAGATTGCTAGCGTAATTTATGTGCCACTAAACACCTAAAATTTGCTTTAAGTGCCTAAATCTCGCGTACAGACATGGCAAGCTTGAGGGTGCGCTTTGCCGACAATGATTTTTTGCAAAATTCACTGTAGTCAGATTTTCATGCACAGGTTAAGATTTTTTCACCTGGTCCCACGACGCAGCACTGCCGTCCCAGCTGTCGCCTCCTTTTCCCCTACATGCAAGGAAGGGTAAAAACATTTTCAACATGACTGCATATATTAAGCTATAACGTAACATTCATTTATATCATTAACGGTTTGACAGGACCAAGTTTCGAGCGAAAGCGCATGATTACACCGGCAAGCCCGGTATACTGCTGCCCGGACTGAGGTATGCTGCTGTGAGTTCCCAGTGGGGTGAACGCGACAAAACAGCACTACATCCTAACTCGTCGCTGTTTTATCGACCTATCCGCCTACTGATAGCGCACAATCTGTTGCTGACAAAAGCTGATATGATATAAAAAAAACTCATATGATATAAAAAAAACTGATATACATTCTGCGGTTGCGTCGGCATGGTAGTAAATCGAGAGCTCAAACCCTTGACATTCTGTTTGCAAAGAAGTGAAAGGAAAAAATTTAATTTTGCATTTTGTCCGGCTGGTTCATGATAGGGGATGACGTCTTTGAATTTCAGTTTCTTAGCCTCCTTTCTTTAGTACTTGATTATCGCTACAGAAAGGCACTTACAGGTATGCATTATACGCAACAAATATCAGTATGACGTAGAATTTAGACTTGACAAATCCACTGTGTTACAAATTAAATTCTAAAAGTTTCGAATTCTTTGTTCTGTTCATTATTAAAATTGGTGCAAGTCCAGGCCCAAAGTAACAAGTTGAAATACAAAAAACAGAATTAATTTGTAGGACTTCAAATGCGAACAGAGTGGCTGTGCTCAAAACTTAGTTCTAACCAATGACCGTAGTATTTCAAATGGGCCTTAGTGTTATAACTTTAGAAAGGATCGCAGAAGGACTGGTTATCTCAACGACCATGTTTCTCATTGATGGCACGAAAGCATCGGTCTCCATGTTGAAGATCGATGCTTTCGTGCCATCAACGAGAAACATTGCGATTCTCTTTGGTGGTAAATTGGTACTCGTGCATGCCGGGAAGTGAAAATTGCTACAAGCCTGCTTGCAAGCAATTCTCGGAAGAGGAAACTATTGACAGCCTCGCTAGCAGGCAGTGCCGTGACCACAAACAATTCCCTGCTTGTGCACGTTAGTCATTTGCAACGACAGTTTTAGGTAGACGACCATTCCGAAGAGTTTGTATAAAAATAGTAGTTGTAGCTGGCAGATTAGTATGCAACAACAGCACTGAATGAACACTCATCGTCTGAGCAGGCACGATTCGCTGGCTCTTTGTCTAAGCAAACGCGTTGCGCTGACTCCTCGCCTGGGTGAGCGCAGTGCGTGGACTCAGAACTTGGGTTGTTAAACTTGTTATTAAGCTTCAGACTTGGGTTATTAAAGTTTAATCAGCGACAAAAACAAATATGAACGGACGCACTACAAATTAATAAACGTACGAAATAACATTAAATAGCGGCGCGTGCCAGGGTGGTCGGCGCGATCATGTGATTTGCGCAGTTCCGACTAGCGGATGATTGCCTTACTAAGGCTTTTTACTGTTTTACACTTTGTTTTGTGCAAAAAAACTCCATATGCTATTTGTTTCCTAAGCTGCAATATTGCCCATTAAAAATCTCACGTGCTGTACGTGAAAGCTGAATTTGAAAATCTGGACGGTGAACACCTTCCAAAATTTCAACCTCCTAATTTTCAGGCTTCCGAGTGACTCTCATGCCAAAACATTCATGTGGTCGTACGTGAGATCTCGGCATAGTTGGGAACTAAATTCGAATTTGTTAGAATATTTTTTGCATAGGCAGAAAATATCCTCCTGAAGTCTCCAGCGCCCTAGCTTTCCTCAAACTCGAAAAAATTTTTCCCTTCAAAACTTTTACCGGCCCGTATGTGAGACCCAGGCTTACATGAGAGCCAATGTGGGCAGGAGATGTGGATTTAAAATTTAAGCGGTTTCTGAGTTAATTTTCCTCGCCAAAACTTTCCCGGGGATAGAAGGGATACCAGGTGAACGAGGAGGCTGGATTTAAATTTATGGTGTCTTACATTAGCGAGATAAATCGCCCTAAAATCTCGCCCCCATAGTTTTCGTGGTTCCTGAAATAGTAATTTTCCCTGCAGTAAATGTTCTCTGGTGCAGCAGCCTGGCACAATCCCGCAACGGGTGGACAGCCGATGAGCATCCGACAACGACCAGGAGGTTGCCACCGGATTCCTGGGGCCTTCGCTTGAGTTGGTAGATGGGGAAGTTCGACGACGAGGCGACGACCTTGGATGTAGGAGGGGAGAGGAACATCGGTTACAATCAATCCACACGTATGCGTTCAAGGAACTGTCGCTCTTTGCGTGCTAAGACAACACACCATGCTATTCACCTAAAATTTGGGTTTTTAAATCAATTTGAAAATCACTATAATAAAATAATGACAACCCTAAGGAAGCTATATATACATACACAGCAATCTGCAACATCCCTACAGCCTAAACTCCTACCAGAATCTATAAAACATATTTCAATGATAATTACAAATACTCAAAGCTACATCTCCCTACACTTATGTCCTTACCAGTACGCCGGCCTCACTTAAAGCACATAGTCTGACTCCCAACACCCTCCTTCCTAATAAGCCTGGCTCGTAAGAGAAGATATTAAATTAGAAAAAAAGAAACAAAAAAGGAAGACTGGGGGGGGGGGGCAATGGGCGATAAAATTCGCCTCTCGCCACTCATTCCAAATGAAATGGAGAATGGATTCTGTGCCCAAAAACTCGGCTTATATATGGCCCAAATCTTGGCGTGGCTAGAAGAGGAGTGTGTCTTGTTGGGCAAGGCTGCAGGTAGGTATGATAAGTAGCAGCCGTTAGAAGGCCGAGTCGTACGCGGACCATCCAAATGGAATGGCCGGAGTAGGTTAAATTGATAAAATAATTTACGGCCCTTGATAGGCGGACCGTAATTTTTGAAGCAAACGGGTAGTTCGAACCTTGGAAGATATGGAACCGCTATGGCCTATAATTTTTGATTTAGGGTGGAATTAGTTAACTGATTATGGTGGGAAATATAGTAGGGCTTTTAATGCGGTACAAACCGTGTGACATGTTGAAAGGTCATGTAAAGAAGAATATGTAGAAATTGGTTTGCCTGTTTCGTCCCTTAGCTGTAAATATAGACAATATAAGGTGCGGTTACGGGTGGGAATCATCAGCCCCTTAACCACCAAGTGAAAATGTCCAGTAGCAAAGCATTTGGAAGGCAGAGATTATAACAGAGAAGAACAAATGGCCAGCGTACCAACTGCCGGTGCGAAGATACGTTTTTTGCATAGTTCCCCGCAGGTTTTTGTTGCTAACGGCACCGGTTTTTTCCGGCAAATGCTTCTAGCTAAAATAACTGAGACTAGCCACTAGGGCTGTCTGAAAACATCTTTTTAAAATTTCAGCCTTCTAGCTTTCCTGGTCTCCGAATTAACAACTTACCTGCAAAAAACTTTCTCGGGCCCGTACATAGGAATCACGCATACTTGAGGACTAGGTATGAACTTATTAAAACCTACGTGGACATGGAACAGTCCCTTAAAATTCCAGTCATCTAGCTTTTCAAGCTCCCGATTTAACAGCATACCCGCAAAAACTTTGGCGGACCCGTAAGTGGGTACCACGCGGGTAAGAGCATCCATTTTGGAAATGGGGGCCCATACACGCATGTAGATTAAGTTACCAAAGTTTCATCCCTCGAGATGAAAAGTCGGTACAGACGAACACAGACACACATATGAACAACCTCTCATCAATATGCATTTTCTGCATTGCATAAATGCAAACCCAGGCTGGAACGCACCAGGCAAGCCGGTGCGATCATGCTTTTTTGCATAAAACTTAGGTTAACTGCGTGAATGGTTGTTTCTTCACACCTGTCTTGCGCGCTCAGTACCGTAAATCATCGTAAATTTTACATAAACGAAAATAAACGTTATCTGTTTAGCGGTCGTTTTTTGAAAAGACCCAGGTGTTTAATAAGAAATTTTCCCGCCAAAAACTTGAGTGACCATACACGAGAACTACGCGTACCAGGAGGCTGAATTTGAAACCTTTAAGTTGTATTTGGAGGGGAATATTCTCCTAAAACCACAGCTTTCCAGATTTCTTCGTTGCCAAGTTGGCAATTTACCCCCAAAACTTTCACGGGGCCGCACGTGACCTAGGGGCATAGCTGGGGCTGGGTTTGAAATCTTTAGTTTGTACATGGGTTGTGA